CGTGAAAGGATCGAATTAATAACAAGCGTATTAATCGATCGATTCTAATAATAATTAATATATGAAACAAAACTAGTTGATCCTTTAAATAGTGCTCAAAGTATTAATATAAAATAGGAATAGGAATTAATTAATATTCAAGGAAGAAGATTAAGGAAGATAACTCACAACTTACAATTCATTAAGCTTCAAAGTAGCAAAACCAAGATGGAAGAGTTTAACTCCTCATTTGGAGACTAAACATAATGAAAATATAAAGAAAGAACTTATCTAGACTGAGCTTAGAAGTGTATAGGAATTGTTGATCATTTGTGAAGGAAAGGAGGTGTATTTAGAGGTATTTGGAGATGCAGCTCGGGTACCCGATCGAGTACACATAGGGTACCCGATCGGGTATTTGTAGAATGATGAATTCGGGCTATACTCGACCGATTTCAGGGTTAGAATTAAAGGTATACCCGATCGGGTGTGTCGGTGTACCGATCGGGTATAACAACTGATCGTGGCCAAATCTTCCCCTGCACGTCCCTTTGTTTCCCGAAGTGATCTGATTGAAAATCAAGTAGGTACCCGATCGGTTATAGGGTATACCCGACCGGGTACAGGTCAAAATCAGGAACTTTCCTTCTTTGTCTTGTATTCTTGCACCGTCTTTCCTCTTTTGGTTTCACCAATGATCATTTGATTGATCCTGGACCTGTTTTAGCTCAGAATAAACCTAATCTAAACATATTACAACTATTTTACATACATAACTATTACACCAAAAGTGTGTAATTTCCGAAATATTAAACAAACACAACTAACTAAAAACATAAACATACAAGCGGAAATTACAAGCGTATCAGTACGGGAATCATAAATGAATGTTTTTGTATAGCTCAGAAGGATCAAGGATGAAATAGGGCATGTGATCCGCGTGTCGGTTATGAAAGAATATGGAAAACTCGATCACATGCGTTGTCGTCTCCATGTTGGATTTTGGACCAAGTAGTCATATATACAACCTCAACTTTTTGTCTACTCAAAGAAGAAAAGAGAGTGCGTTGATGATTTGTGGTTATCATGGGAGAACATATATTTATGATTTGAAAAGGCAGAAACTAAAACAGACCTTCCTTGTGTAAGGAGGTGATGGTGATGATGAGCGCACTCTTCGTAGGTGTTTCTATGTTGAATCTTTTAATTCTCTAGGGGTGTTTGGAACTCATTCTGCTTCTGCTTCTTTTTTAAAGCAGAAGCAGAAGCAGAATCAGTTTTCAGAAGAAGCTGGTACCCCCCCAGCTTCTAAAAAAAACTGATTCTGAGAGTAAATTAGAGCACCAGAAGTGCTTCTAGAATTTCACCCAAACACTTCAGCTTGTGCTTTTGCTCTCTAAAGGAGTAGAATCAGTTTTGATAATCAGATCCAAACACTCCCTAAGTGGAGTGAATTGGAGTGATGATGATCAACACATATGTGATTTTAGAATGTTTTGAGCATTTGTACATTTCCTTTTTGTTAGACAAATTTATATTTTTCCTTCTAGAGATTTATATATATATATATATATATATATATATATATATATATATAGAGAGAGAGAGAGAGAGAGAGAGAGAGTACTCTTCCGGTCAGGAATTCCTGACCGGAACCGCCGTCCGGACGGCGGCGTTTGGCCGCCTTCCGGGTGGAATTTTTCAATGAAATTTTTATGACATGTTCTCCATCAAGTCTAGTTTATCCACAAAAAAATTCAGCCAAAAACTCATTCGGGAAGGTCATCAAATGATTTTTGCAAGTTAACTGGTCCGGAAAATACATATTCCGGACCAGTTAACTTGCAAAAATCATTTGACTACCTTCCCGATTGAGTTTTCGGCTGAATTTTTTTGTGGATAAACTAGACTTGATGGAGAACATTCCATAAAATTTTCATCAAAAAAATCCACCGGGAAGGCGGCCAAACGCCGCCGTCCGGACGGCGGTTCCTGTCCGGAATTCCGGACATGAACTTTTGTCTATATTATATATATATTTAGGATGCATTTCTAACAACATTATATTTGTGAATGGAAGTTAGTACCCTTGATTTGTGTCAATACATCTTAACATAAAAATATGTACATTATGCTTAGAAAATGATATCTAACTTTTGAAGTGACTTTAATAACCCTAATGATGTAAACTTCCGTTACTTGATTCATAAACACATTCAAGTACTTTTAATACTACGTACTATGATAAATTCGTGACATTTAAATAAAGTAATGTGTAAACTATTTATATTATAAAAGTAATAATCAAATTTTGTATATTAATATGTACTTACTTTTTAAACTTTTTCAAGTTTGACATTTTTATAGTTAATTGCATCATTTTTTTGCAATAATGAAGCAAACACTACAAAAACTTTACGGGATTAACACGGATTTGACACGGATTTATCGATTTTTTCGTGTCAAATAGCTCATGCCTTGGTACGGATTTGGCATATCTATGTCAAAATCCCTGGCAATTTGGGAAACTCATACCAAAAATCTCTGTCAATCGAGTATTTTTTTTGTAGTGAAACACTTCGTATGTATTTACATGATAATATAAAACTTTTTACTATGATGAATATTTCTCCTCAAATATATCTAAAAAATTCTTTGTACTGATCAAGTTGAACTTCTCCTCTTGTCTACGCCTCTACTCATATGTCACGGAAATTAAGGTGATCAACAATATAATACTGTTTTTGGAGTTTTAATGAGTTAAGTTTTTTTTACTTTGTAATTAATCAAAAAAACATTGGACATGAGTTATCGCGCCTTGCGCGATCAATCGCTAGTATAGTGATAAACAATGATCTTTATAACTAATGATCTTTTCCATCTTTCGGTTGCTAAACCTCTCACCCGCCTTAATAACCGCCTCCCTGCTATTAATATATGTACCGTTCCTTGTACCAATAAACTCCCCATCAAAGGATAGTGGCTCAAGCCTCCAACCTCCTTTATCAAGATCAACCTTGCCACTAGACCCCTCTCAGACTCCATCCTTCGTATCGGCATCTTAATTTGTAATGCAAAAGGGGTCTATATTTCACACTCATCCTGCATCACTAGGACTGATGATTATACTCACGCCCTTTACAATGCTTTGACTAAAATCTTTACCTTATCTCCGGTCTCTACCACAACTAACATTGCGATAGAGACCGAAAATTTGCAGGTGCAACAGGCTATCGAGGGGATCATCACTCACCATTGGAGATATTGGGCTCAAGTAAAACAAATCAGGCGCACTTTGAAAAATTTTTGTTGGAGAATGGACACCATCAATTCCAAATGTAATAGAGCGGCAGAATTTGTTGCGTATAAGAATGTCTCCCTTAAATTAAACCCCGTGCTTTTTAATCAATTTGTAGGGATTCTTAAATTTGATGCCATTAGTTACCCTTATGTTTATTAATCTTGGGGTAGGCATTGGCTCTTTGTCCTCTTACCTCTGTACTTTCACTTCATTTCAATAAATAGGTAGGATGTTTCCCGGCTCCTACCCCAACCTCTTTTGGTTGGTCCTCTCTGGGTCCAAAAAAAAAATAGTGATAAACAAAACAGTACAACATTTACGTTTTGTTTTTATGCAGTATTGCAGTTATATTATTCTTGAGATTTTTTTCCTCACCTGATCATTAAGTGAAATTTAATATTACCTCCGTCCACTTAACGCCACTGAACTTCGTTAAGTTGATGTTGGGTGGAGAATTAGAATAATAAAAACTATGTGGTTGAAGTTTGTGTAGATAGAAAGAAATGAAAAGAAGTGTAGAACCACAATTCATTGTTTTAAAAGCAAAGTAGCAATTTTTTTAGCACAAACTAAGAAAAAGGAAATTGGAAAAGTCGTCCCAGGAGTATTGAATTGCATTAAGTTAATTCTAGATAATACGAAGTATGTAAGTTTTCATTTAGTTCGTGTATCATTATCTTGTTATAATCATATACTATGTATTTGTTTTGGATTTTTTTTATTTTGATGTAGTTTCGAGCTACATACGAAGCACTACTTCCATCCTACTAACGTTGGGACAAGAAGGACAATACACTTATTAAAAAGTGGAATTTTATTGTTGATATTGAATTAATAAAAGAAGAATAAAATATGAATGATTTTGAATCATATAAACCTTATCAAATTTGGTATGAGACATTATTAGTGAGACAGGTCGAAAAGGAAAGATGAGATTAAGACAACTTTAAGAGTAAAATCTAACTAATTTGCCACCTGGCACCTGCTATTTATGTAGTACCACCTCGGTTCTTTTTTTATCGCAACATTTGACATTTTGCACTATTCACATATTCTACTTTGATTATATTTTATTTATTAATGTATTATACATTAAATTTTCAATTTTTTTTAAAATTCCTCTCATTTTAAATTTTGAAAATCTGAATTTTTTAATTTTTTTTATTTACAAAGAATGAAAGATATTAATGGTCAAAATTTGACATTGGCAAGGATGAAAAGTTGACCGTTACAATTAAAGAAGAACGAACTAAGTATAAGGGAGTGTTTGCAACTGCTTAAAAAAAAGCACTTCTCAGCTTTTGGCTTTAAAAAGCACTTATTTACCAAACACTACCAATTTTTACTTTTTCTCGGCTTGCGTGTGAAAAGTGCTTTTCCCTTTTCTATTACACAAAAAGCACTTATTTTACCAAACACTACCAACTTTTACTTTTCAAAATCACTTTTTTCTCAAACACTATCAACTTTTACTACCAATCACTTTTTCATTACTTCTCAAAAAGTGCTTTTTTTTAAGCAGAAGCAGTTGCAAACACTCCCTAAGAATGTTTAAAAAGGGAATCTTCTGTTCAATTAACGTGTTGTCTCATTCTCTCTGACTGGGCCAAACAAATTCAATTCCTTTGCCATTTTACTTTCCCAGCAAGTTTACAATTCAACTTCATTCAGAACCTCATTGGAAGACTTATAAATACATGTCACATATCCACATATGACTAAAACAATCCTCTATCAAAAATTCACCCAAATCTGTGCTAAATAAATACACCATATATTAAAAAAACAAATACACCATATATATTTTCCTTCGACAGAATACTCCCAGAAGTTGAAGGCTTTAATTTTCAAAGTTACAAAAAGTCCAGCCAGTTGGAAGTTGGAGGCCTCATCTCATCTCAATGTTTACCCAGAAGAATCATAACCATGTTTTGGGGCAAGAACTCCAAGAAGATCATAAACATGATATTCCAGCATACAAAGAAGTTGTGGCAAAGAGCAAAGATTTTCTCATGAAAAATTTTCCAGATATTTATGATGAGTCCTTACATGTCCTTGAAAGGCTTGAGGAGATGAAAAGGCAAAGAAAGGAAAGGAAAAGTCGGGTTGTGCAACGAAGTTTGAGTCTCGGCTCACCCCGAAAGTTTAAGCTTCAAAGATTTAGAGTAAAGACTCCAAATGTAATTCTCGTGACTCGACCGGAGGGTCAAGGTGGTCAATTTAGCAACCAAACTAATGGTTCCAAAGACCTTAGTTGATCTTAATCATTATTTTAGAAATTAATAAGTTGCATAAACTGTCACTACAAAAAAAGGCGGGATTGACACGGAATTTGGCACGGACTTATCAATTTTTCGTGCCAAATAGCTCGTGCCAAAGTGTTTTTGGCACGGATTTGGCGTATCCCTGCCAAAATCCGGGCCAAATCTCTGCCAAAATCCCTGTCAATCCCGTGTTTTTTTGTAATGTGTACAATTATATTTTAAGTTGTATATGTGAACATTACATTATTACCTTCTCTAGTGAGTAGTGATTTAATTTTATTCCATATTGTTTCTCGTTTAGCTTTTTTCGGTTTATCAGAAATTCGTAATTGTTAGTCGCTTACCTAGCTCTTTTTTTTTTTGCATCAATGTCACTGGGACAACCGGAGATATAATTGAAATATGATGTTTACTTATTTACAAATTATGAAATTATGTGTAAACCATAGTTCTATTTTTGTAAAACATGTCTCACGTGTGTTGTGTTTTGTCCAAAAGATTTAGCAAAAGTTTAGTCCCAAAAACACTATGGCATGGTTTTGAAATAATTAACCTATTTATCCCTACACCTTATGTAATTTCTTTTGGGGAAACACAACCAGACATCTTCCAGCATTACGAGGTAGGAAGGTTTTTGTTAGCGGACGGAGATTAACCAAGTGTAGGCTTCGTATTATATAAGTGTACAAGACAGATTTTACAAATGAATGAATAGGTTTTAGCATCTAGTAGTATAGTACCCGTGTGATGCACGGCATAAAAAAATATTTTGTACTTTGAGGATGCTATTTCATAAAATAAAATTCAAAATTCAAAAAGCTACCAAATGATATACATGTAGAATATGATAAAAAGAGCATATATAAGTTGTTATACTCTGTATTAAATATTAACACAAGTCACCATTAAAAAAAATTCAAAACTAGAAAAAATTAACTATGCATATTGAAAAAATATTTACACTTAGTTAATTAGACTAATTCATTCATATTATTGCCCAATAATATTACGTTTTACTACGATAGTAATGGTTTAATTTCCAGATGAGTACAATTGATTAATTTGCTATTTAATGAGTATTGTATGAAGGTGTTATAACTAACTTATAACATTTTCTATTAAAAGTACTTCATTTGCCAAACACTAACACCATTAAAGTTATTTTTCTCAAATATTATCTACTTTTATTAATAAATACTTTTTAAAATTCATTTTCAAAATTGCTTTAAAAAAAATAGAAACAACCCCAACACTAACACTGCCTAAGTGTACTTTTAACGATCCAAAACATTAAAAATAGCTCCACCCCTCTTTAAAGTAAAATGGGTCCTAGAAATAAACGCGTTGGACAATCCATTAACACTTTTTCAATGTTTCTCCAACTCCATCGAAACCTTATCATAGGCAGACAAATATGAGATAACTTTCCTTATCACTAAGAGGAGAACCGCATCACTCTTATAGTTTTAATGTTTTATCATTGGCATGAAAATTTTGACATGAAAATTAGCCCATGTAAAGTGAAAAGAGTGAGTTCAAAATAATGCAATAAACGTAGGTTACGTTATACTCTAGAACAGAGTTTATGCATCTACAATAGTAAAATATACCTCTGAATTATGCAAAATGTATTCCCATGTGTTGCAAACATTTTTATCGTTGAATGCTCACATCCATATGAACGGACGACTCCAACTCTGGCAGCACGGCTTCTTTCTTGTCTTGATCTCATAGATTTTGCGATGATGAAAGAGACATAATCTCCACATAATCCATTGGAGTCAATAATTCTGATCTCTGGAAGGAGTGGTTATATCGTACACCCAGATATTTTTGAAATTCTCTTTAATTTCAATGACAATTCAGTTCTTCTGTCCATGTTCTTCGCTGCGTAATTGGACTACGTGCATATGCTGTCTTTAGTGGCCAACTTCGGCGTTAGTGGACTGCGTAAGTGGATTTACCTTGACTTTTCTTTTGCTTTTTAGGTGGATCCGTTTTTATTTCGGTTTTCTTTTTTTCTTAACCACCTTGTTCATTCATTCCTAATTTTCAATTTCTAATGAATATTCAAAATATTAGTGTTTTATTTTTCTGTTTCTAATTTAAGATGAATATGTATTACTACGTAGTTTATTAAAAATCATTTGTTAACTACTTTGTTATACTAAAATGAGTATAGTGTAAAATAAAAATGCATGGATAAACATTATAAAAAGCACCCGGTTATATTTGTAATTCCAGAACGAACGACTATAAATCATTTTTAATATAAAATTATTATATTTTTCATTATTATATTTGTCATTATGATACATGTGCACAAATTAACATTTAAACACATTAGAGAGTTGAAACAAACTTTTGAATCTTTTGATGTCCATTGTTTGAAACAAAAAAATACTCCGTATTACATTTAATTTACAAAGTTTTAACACGTATTTACATTTATTAAATTAAACAACATCAAACTACCTCTATTGAGATGAAAATCACGATTTCTGTTAAATGAGCATTACGGAACTTTTAATGTGCATCAGACCTATTATGAGCATTTAAACACTTTAATGAGCATCCGAATTATTCTGTTGAGTATTAGGAAGAATTATTCGGTTGAGTATTAAGAACCTAACAATGAGCATTGTAATCTCTGCTTCATATCTTTTAATTCACTTTTTCTTTTATAAAAACTTATTAAATAATATCTATAATCAAGTTCTATGAACTTCGATCAATAAGCGAATCTAATGTCATATGCAACTTTTAAAATTCCCATGGATATGACATTTTAAAAATGAGCATAATATTAGTATCAATTGAGAATACGTAAAGTACAAAATGAGTATTGATATGAAATTCATAAGTTCTTTAGTTGAACTTAAAGACATTTTTATTGAGCATCAAACCTCCTTTATTGAGTATTAAAAAATGCAATTGAGTATCATGGTCTGTGCTCTTATATCTATAATCATCTCCTACATGAATCTAATTTAATTAATATGAAACTTTTGAAATATATATTGATATAACATTTCAAAATGAGCATAACACCGGTACAAAATGAGTATTCATTACTTATCAAATGAGCAATGATATGAAAATCATAAGATTTGTTAGTCGAGCATCAAGACATTTTCATTGAACATCAAATTTCCTCTATTCGATGACATTTTTTTTAATTTAAGCGAAAAATCACGGCTTCCGCTAAATGAGCAATGGTGTACTTTTAGTGAGCATCTGACATATTTTATTGAGTATTAGGAGGCTAAGAATGAGTATAAAGATCTCTGCTTCATATCTTCTAATTCTTTTTCTTTTTCTTATTTTCACTTTTATAAAAACTTATTGAATTATATCTATAAGCCAATGCTATTAATTTCAATATGTGAATCTAATGTTATATAATACTTTTTTTTTTGAAATATGCATTGATATGACATTTTAAAAATGAGTGTAACTTACGAAATCAGTACCAAATTAGCATACATAACTTACGAAATACACATTGATATGAAAAGCGTAAGGTTTGTTAGTTGAACATCATGATTCACGACATATTAATTGCACATCAAACCTCCGCTGTTGAGATGAAATTCATGGTTTCTAGTGAATGAGCATTGATGAACTTTTAATGAGCATCATACCAATTCTGTTGAGTATTAGGAGTCTAATATTGAGAATCCTGATCTCTGCTACATAAGTTCTAATTCACTTTCTTTTTGTTATTTTTTCTTTTATAAAAACTTACTACCTCCGTCCCATTTTATGTGTCTCCTTTGGTTTTGGCACAATTTTTAATTAAGTGGTTGAAAAGGCAAGAGTTTTGGTTGAGATTTGAGTATAGTAAAGTGAAATGTTGTGAACCACATATTTCTTTTCAAAAAGGGAAAAATGACACTTATTTTAGGACAACCCAAAAAGGAAAGTAAGACAGGTAAAATGGGGCGGAGGGAGTATTAAATTACACTTATAGTCAACTTCCATGAATTTCAATATGTGAATTGATGCAAAATAGTACTTTAAAAAAATGCATTGATATGACATTTAGAAAATGAGCAACAGTCCAATTTTAATGAGTATTGAGCGTCCAATAATGAGCACCATGTTATTACAAGAAAGCTTATATCACAACTAAAAAGCGGTGGCATTTTCGTAATTTCAGTGAAAAACGCGGTTTTCATTAGATGAGCATTAATACACTTTTAATGAGTATCATATACATTCTTTTGAGTATTAGAAGCTTGACAATGAGCATCACGATCTTTGCTTAATACTCCCTATTTTTTAATTCACATTTTTTCTTTTATAAAAACTTATTAAATTATATCTAGTCAACTTCGATGAACTTCCAATATGTGAATCTAATGTAAATTTGTACTTTTCAAATATGAATTGATATGACATTTTCAAAATGTCACATGAGTACCAATTGAGCATATGTAATTTATAAAATGAGCATTGATATGAAAATCATAAGTTGTTTAGTTAAGCATCAAGACATTTTCATTGTGTATCAAACCTCATATATTGAGTATTAGAAACATGCAATAGAGTATCATGGTCCGTGCTCTCGTATTTATAATCAACTCATATGTTAATCTAATGTAATATGGTGCTTTTGAAATATGTATTTATATAACATTTTAAAATGAGTATAACACCAACATCAAATGAGCATACATAAATTAACAAATGCGCAATGATACGAAAATCATAAGTTTTCTTAGTTGAATATAAAAACATTTTCATTGAGCATCAAATCTCCTAAATTGAGCATTTGAATCATGCAATTGAGTATTATTAATCAAATCGAAAGAGGTAGAATTGTTTTTAATCAAATTTTCATCTCAATTAATTCGTTATAAATTCTCAAATTAAAGGTGCAAACACAATCAAAAGGAATGAAACCGAAAAAAATAAGTGGACGTCTAAAAAGAGGTTAACACTGGAAAAGTTATATTCATTGCAATTGCCGACATCTGCAACTCCCTAGCAGGATACACCTTTCAGTCGGTTACTCCATCTTCTTCCACGACATAAATTAATCAATTGTTTGATTCATTCTATTTTCGCCGCAATACTGTCTTAATTCCATGAAAATTATCCGAATTGGGTTGTTGACAGTTGATTTCTTGAGAGGAAGCATCGGAACGGTTCGAAGATGAAGTGCCGGGATTGGGGTTGGGAAAAGCAGCTGCAAACCGGAGGATTAAATGTCATCTCAATTGTGAGTAGTTGTAGAAATACCCGGTTGTACGGTGAGGATTAGTATGACAATCATAAGTTTTTTTAGTTGAACGAGCATCAAAACGTTTGAGTATTAAAAACATGCAATTGAGCATCAAATCTTCTCTATTGAGTATTAAAAACATGCAATTGAGCATCAAATCTTCTCTATTGAGTATTAAAAACATGCAATTGAATATCATGGTCTGGGCTCTCGTATCTGTAATTAAAACTCCTACTTCAATCTAATTTAATTTGTCACTCTTGAAATATGGATTGATATAACATTTTAAAATGAGTATAACATCAGTACCAAATGAGCATACATAACTTACAAAAAGAGCATTGACATGGAAATCATAAACTTTGTTAATTGAACATCAAAACATTTTCATTGAGCATCAAACTTTCTTTTATTGAATTACAAATATAATCGTGTTCTTTTTATAATTAATGTTTACTCATGCACATTTATTTTACACTATACTAATTTTTGTATAAAACAAAATTGAGTAATTAAAACACAATATATAATAAACTAATAAAGATATATAATTAAAATAAAAAAAATAGAAAAATAAAAAATCAATACCTAAAACTTTTTATATTACACAAATTAAAAAAAAAACTAAGTTAGAAAGTTGATTGGAAAACGAGAAAATTTGGGACATTAAGTACTCCCTCTGTCCCATTTTATAAGATATCTTTACTATTCACTTGGTCAACACAAATCACTCTTAATCTCTTACTTTATATATCAAAATTTTATGAAATTTGAATTACTTTTTACAGGTTTTGTAGCGGTTTTAATGTAGTTTCTGAATATGTAACTTTTTTTTTTCTAAAAATAATTTGAGTGCAGACAGGGATCTGTTTGCTTTATCGTCGGTCAAACATCGTAAACCGAAAAGTATCTTATAAATTCAGGACGGAGGGAGTAATATTTTATATTATAGATTTTCATGATAATTTAATTTGAAATTAAAACAAAAAATTAAAGAAAAAAAACAAAAACCTGAAAAGGAAGAACCGAAAGAAAACAAAAAGGTTGTTACCGAATAAAACAAAAGAAAACAAAGAACTGAAAACAAGGAGTAAGCAACGAACGAACTGAATGCTAAGCAAATTAAACCGCCGGATGTACGTACCACCGGCGGTACGATATAATTTACCCTCTGGAAGTGGACACGTTAATCGCAAGTTATAGCAGGGCGGGAACAGGTTTGGGACATAGGTCCAGTTTTTGTATATATAAAGATTTATACTACTCACAAAGGGCTACAGATTGGCCTTCTTTAAAATTTGTCCAGCACACTTCTACATTCTAGATTATTTCAAGAAGTCTCCACAAGTTTCCATGAAAAATCTAGATGACTCCACAGTCCACACTTATTAAAATTGTCTAGACAGCTCTACAATTTTCCATGTGCACTTTTGTAGAAATATCTACATTTCTCTAGAGACTAGAATAGTATAGATGACTCCATAACATTTTACACACATTATTCTAGAGAATTATACACAACTCCATAAGCTCTAGAATTCTTTACAGTTTCACAAAATATTTGGAAATACAATATTGATCGAGTTGCATCCTAACAATTTCGCCCTTTTTGCAAGAAATTGAGATCATTTTTTTATTTTTAAATGTGGCATCTTTCTTTTTTATTTTTCATTGCATAGTTTGACTTGTTTATGTTTTGTTTTTTAACTACCACTTGAGTACTTGACGTAAGATTCTTTTTATAGATTTGATTCAAGCGGCCTTCTAGGTAAAAATTGCTTATTAAAAGTCTAAATAAAAATCTAAAGCATGCAACCTTTCTTCATTCAATAACACTTATTTTACTTAATAAGATCATAATGGGGGTGTTTGGTTAGTGGCCTATCAGCCATTTTTTGGCTGATTTGACTAATTTTGGCCTTTTGACCAGCTCAATCAGCTAATTAGAATGTTTGGTTGAATGGCTTTTCTATTTAGCTTTTTGTTTCAAACAGCCAACATACTAAACGACACTATCCTTGGCGTTTTGGGCATGGCTGTTTCTATTACGATCTTGTTTTCCTATTTTATCCTAAGTAGCTATTGATTCTTTTTCCGATAAACTATTTGTCTGTCTGCTATAATAATCAAAATCACACTTGTCGGTAGTTTAATGATCACACCATGGGCCATAATAGTAGTGGACAATTTGACTTTTATTTACCTCAAATTTATATAAGAATTTTTGCTCCTAGAAAAATCATTTTAATAAATAATAACTCAAACATAAACCTTTGGCTACTTAACAAAGGAAAGACTAGTGACCTCAAAACAAAAATTAAAGACTAGAGACGGTAGTGTTTAACAAATTAGTATAAGGAATTTTGCTCATAACTAAATTAAAAATACTAATTCAATTTATTAATTCGTGAAAATGTTTAAAATAATTATTATTTGTGTTAGTACATTTTATTATTTTTAACTCATAAGAACGGTTTAGTAAAATAAAAACTCATTAAAATGGGTTACCTAGTTGTGCTAATTACATTAATTAAAAATTAATCTATGTCCTTAATAGTCATTTACTAAGTTATCAGTTGATTGTATACAGCAATTTAACCAAACACTATTTTACAAACTGCTAATCTCATCAGCTAACCAAAACAGCCAACAGGATCCGCTGTCATCAAACAACTAATACAACCAGCCAACAGCCAACGGCCAACAACCAATTGTCAAACACCCCCAATATCCTCAATAACCCAATCTAATGAAAAATAAATTGACCACTACCAATCACGTTATGCAGTTGCCGGCCTGTTGTCGCTGTCATCATCTTCATTAAAATCAGAATGTCACAAAATTATACATTTCAAACTCTTTTCTTGAAGAATGAGATAGAAGAACTAATTTGCTCAATTCTAAATCCTTGAAGGGCTAATATCTTCAAAGAAAATGACTACACCCATTATTAGATAATAAAATTACACAAATGTGTAGTTATTAATTTTGAAAAACGAATGAAATCTAATGGATAAAAAAGGCTTGAGAATTTTTTTGTTTAAATAAAGATGGTTGAAAAGACGAAGTTCATTTGGATGCAAGTGAGAATTATAAAAAAGATTGATTCTTTTAATTGGAAAATATAGACTAAGAACATGTTTAGATAATTACATTAAAAAGAAGACATACTCAATAAATAAGAATATGCATTATCAACTAATATTACAATCAACTAAATAAGTGGCTTTCCTTTAGTTATAATAACTCATCATGCTCACACACCAATATATAGTAAAACTAAAACAAAATCATTTTATCTCGTGCGCGACACGAATAAAGATACTAGTAGTTTACCGTATAACAACTTGGGGCGAGTTCGTATACCGTGGGATCATCCCACGGTGAGCACCGTGCTCCACATCCCAAAACGACGTAGTTTTGCAGATTTAAAAAAAAACGTGTGAACAGTAACACGTGAACAGTAACGCATGAACAGTGACTATTTTTTGTCCCAGTAACATGAATGATGTAACTCGAGTGTAAAATAATGTAACTCATGTTATTGATCGATGTAACTCAAGTCCAGTCGAAATGTAACTTGTCAAATACATAGTATAAGAAATAAAACATTGATTTCAATATAAATAATGAAAAGAAGAAAACTATTTGCCCAATTGTTTTACATAAATATTGTATATGTTTTGTTTTTAATATCAAATCTATAAAAATGTTTTTTATGAAACTAATTTTTCTTTGAATAGCAAGGCTTATTGGGTTGTGTAACTCACATTATATTGTGCTGTAACTCGCATTATGGAAAATGTAAATTACATGTAAGTGAGATGTAACTTGATGAAGAAAGTTGACATGTAACTCACGCTAATAGATATGTAACTTTAGGCAAATATTGGTGTAACTTGAGTGTGAGTAAGATGTAAGTTAGGGGAGGTCTAAAATAATTCATAGCAGTCATCTTCAACATGTAACGAAGGTGAGTCTTCTACATTAGAATCTAGACTTTCATATTCAAAACATTATTACTATTATACATATATACTAAAACAAACATTTAGCTTGAAGTCATTATATATTTATATTTGCCCACATATTCGCAGTACTCCGGATCCAAAATACGGCACCTGCAATTTCAGAATTAAAAAAGGGATATATTGAATGGGGCGATTGAATGATAATCTTTTGTTTGGGTCTATTTGATGCGATGCACAATTCATATTTGAGAAGCAGGTATGTAAACACAATTCTTTTTTATGCAAAGAACTCTTCGAATGACTTCTGGTCCAACACTTGGAGTACGGCGGAGTTCTATGGTGAGCTGAAACAACGAAGGAGACGAAGGGGATCCGGTGGTTGCTATTTTTTTAATAGGAAGCATAAAACTGTACCATTTTGGGATCGGCACACCATGCTCATGGTGGGCCGATCCCATGGTATAATTTGCGCGGGCAGGGGACTATCCCTCGCTATTTAACAAAGAATGAATGAAACCCTTTTGCACAAAAAAAGAAAGAATGAAACCCACCTTCGAATTCTTGTGGATTAAAGAAGCATGCATATCATAAAACCCTACTCAATCCCACCGCCGGACATATGCCCAATTGCGCATAGATCAGAAAAGCAAAATGAAGATGCAAAACCCACTCTCCGCCCTCCCTTCATATATGAACCGCAACATATTTTCAAGGTTGGATGGGATGCATCTCCTCATAGCCCAGTGCGTCTGCACACTACTAGGAATAGAGCCATTAGGAAGGAACCAAAACTCTATCTAAACCATAAATATTCCTTTCTGAATTGGTTAGTAAGGAACTTGGAAAGGAATGTCGTTCCTCTCTAAAACCTCCCTTTCTAAATTTTGTTCCTACCTAAATTCCTTTCTAATGTTGTAGGCTTCCAAAAAGTATTAAATCCTTACGGAGGAAATGGTTTCTTTCAAAATTCTTACCCTACCAGATGTATTATAACTTGATAGGAAATATTTCCTTTCAATTTTTTTTTTACTTTGTTTGCTCAAAGAGGAAAAAGTTCCTTTCAAAAGTTTTACTTTATTCAAATGTAATAAGAAAATTTAATCTAAAACAATTACATTAAAAGGAATTTCGTTCCTGACAACTTCTAAAAACACATATCAATATTACACACGCTCATACATATATTACCAATCAGATCCCTGTCAAAGCATTTCTCAAATACCAGAATTTAAATTATACCAACATACACAGTACATGATAGCAATTGCATACTTTAACCAAAAGAAATCCAAACTGCATACTTTAACCAAAAGAAATCCAAAAATACGGTAATGAAGTCATTCTTGAAGACCTTAAAAAGCACATACCGAATCACAAAAGCTGAATATATTGATTTGAAATACAAAGACTAAACATGTTCATCTTCCTCGTCTTGACATCCATTGTCTTCCTGGTTCGGGCCATTATTCTTTGTATTGAATACTTGTGAAGTTTGTGGCATTAACATACCCATGATTGAACTGTGATGCATACTTTGGGATGGAAACACATTTGTAAAGGTACCTTGCGGTGATTGTTGACACATATTCATAGAGCGTTGCATTTTTTCAATAGTGACTGATGCAGATTCCTTGAGCTGTATAAGCTCTTTGTTTGATTGTATCAGCTCTTTGTTGGATTCTATCAGCTCTTTGTGGGCCTTTTCAACTTCAGCCAAACGATGTTTCCATACTGTGTCATCATATGAGGGTTGTGAAGGAACTTCAGTAGTAGATGTATTTGGGAAGTAGTAATGGCTGGCAGAACCAAAGCCTGAAACTTTTCCGCCCCTTTTATGTCCGCCAGCAGCCTCTAACAACACTTCTTTAGAATTAGCATTTGTGTCTTTTGACTTCAGCTCCTCATAGGATTCCTAAACATGAAATATAATATCAAAAAAAATTATTAAGGACTACAAACTGTCAGTAGAACAATATAATGTAAAATCATCACTAAATAATTTACTTGTGGGACAAAGACGTAAGAAATACACTGGTGGATACAAATTTAATACCTGCGGTATCACTCCAAATGGATTAGTACTCCAACCAACAATGAACACACATTCTGCACAATCGCATTAGTTGTTATCACAATAAATAGCAATAATATGGTTATTAGCAAATTACAACAATGGTTAGCGTCTGCATCTTATTTGTAAAATGTGGAAATAATAATAATAAGTCATTACTTCATTAAAATACAGTGTATTTAATAAATCTACACAATACTATAATACACTCACATAGACTTGCTTAGCTTTGGGGTGACAAATGAACCGTCTTCTTTCTTCGTGTGTGTTTGTAAATACATCTTATCTGGTCCTGCAGACACACCATGTTTTTCCTCCTAAATACAAATTTAGTTCGATTAATTATTTAAAAGTGAGTTAATGTTTATAAAACAAAAGTAAAGTGAATTTTTATAAAAGGTAGACTTACATATCTTCGAATGTGTTCTGTAATGGGAATGGAACCCCCCGTGTGCAAGGTGATTCCAACATCAGAATTTCTATTTTTCTGATTAGTTTCACACTTTTGTATGCACTTTATGTCACCCCATTTGACAAGCAATTGAGTCCATAGTGACTTGATTATCCAATTTGGCTGTTTTTTTTTACTTTCGGGCAGCAGACAGAGCACGTGAAAGCCCAGCAGAACCTTTACTATTAATGTTTTTCTGGATGCGATATTCATGTTCCGGCCTCCATGTATACCTTTCCTACAAATATCATTTTACAAGTAGAACAAAAACATCGACGCTTTATTCTCAAACGAATTAAATTGAGTATCTAAATCACTTGATGTGACAGGAAGTTTATAAATACAAACATAATACCTTAAATAAATTAAGCCAAATATTTTGTAATTCGGGCGAGGCTTCTTTATAAGAGAGAATTGGCTCATCAAATTTTTTCTTAAGGCATAGCATAACATATCTGTTTGTCGAGCATGGAATGAATCTGTTGTAGCATTAAACAAGTCATAAGCATCACTGTTTACCATTTCAGGTAGAAATAAACATCACAATTAAAAAACGTATTTATAAAGTTGAATTAATTATAAAAACGTATTTATATTAAGTAGAATAAATTATAAATACGTATTTATGTTACCCGGATTTCCCATCAGGAACGATCTCTTTCTTAACTTCTGAGGGTGGGGATTGGTTTGGCTCACTTAAGGTAGATGTGCTATTTGGAGATTCCAGTTGACTCGATAGAGAAGCGCATGAAGAACTTGTATTATTAGGTGAAGATGAGTTGAATGGTCTACCCTCACGTGGAAGCCATAAATGTCCTGTATTAACAGGCGGTGGCAGAGCTAGTTGGCTGAAAGTGTTCCCAGTTTGTCTCTCATTAGTAGTACGAACCATTTGTTCTACAAATGAGATTGTGTCCTGTTTTTTCTCCAGTTTGTCTCCTGTTTTTTCTAAAAGGATGATTCATAGACAAGAATTGGCGATGACAATCAAACCATGAATGCTTTCCTCCATTCTTTAACTAAAAAAAGCTTGTGTGGATTCCATACAATATGGACAAGATAATTTCCCTGCAGTTTGCCAACCTGATAGCATCCCATACGCCGGAAAGTCACTTATTATCCACATTAAAGATGCCTTCATCACAAAGTTTTGCTTTAACGACACATCATAAGTGACAACCCCTATTTCCCACAAAGATTTCAATTCATCAATTAGTGGCTGTAAGTATACATCGATTTGAGCCTTTGGATTATTTTTACCAGGAATTATAGAACTCAAAAACATATACGGGGTTGTCATACACATTGACAGTGGAAGGTTGTACACAGTAACGATTATGGGCCAACATGAATATGACTTAGAGGACATACCAAAAGGAGAGAAGTCATCCGAACACAAGCCGAGCCTGACATTACGTGGTTCTGAAGCAAAATCGGGATAGGTTTTATCAAAATGTTTCCATGCTTCACCGTCTGATGGATGACACATCATGCCGATGTCACAATGATTTTCAGCATGCCACCTCATATGCTTAGCTGAGCTAGGCGATGCACATAACCTTTGAAGTCTTGGAATTAGAGGTAAGTAATGCATCCTTTTCCGAGGAACTTTTGACCGGTGTTTTGTACTTTCTTTGTAACGTGACTCACCGCAAAATTTGCATTGTCCCAATTCAATATCCTCTTTGTAACACAACATGCAACCATTAATACAACAATCAATTTTCACATGACCGAGACCAAGTTTAGAGACCAATTTCTCAGCTTGATAAAAATTGGACGGTATCTTATTTGGTAGTGGCATTGCTCGACTACATGCATCTAACATCTCATCCATGGCCTTTTGTTCAATGTTATATGATGATTTTATACTCATCATCTTCAATGTAAATGATAATTCAGTATCTGTTGTACATCCTGGCCATAATGGTTGTCGTGCAGAATCGAGTAACTCATAAAATTTTTGTGCACTTTCATGTGGCCCTTCAAACTCTCCATTTTGATGAGTAGGTGTTGAGCTCATCCCAAAAATATCATGAACCATTGTTTCGTACATGTTATTCCCTTCATCCCCCATATGTGACACATCATTCACACTTTGAGTGAAAAATGAGACCTCTTCCCCATGACAAGTCCAGTGCCAATAGTTTGATTCGAACCCCCACTTATAAAGGTCTACTTTTACATCTCTGTGATTCTTGTAGCATTGATTTCTACATTTGGTACATGGGCATCTAATTACACCGTTTTCAACAAACTCCACTTGTGCGCAAGCAAAATTCACAAATTGATCTACTCCAACCTTAAATTCATTTGTCAATCCCTTTCTTCCAGGTTTGACTCGATTATACATCCAAAGACGTTCATTTCTCAGATCCATTTTAATCCTAGAATTAAAAAAACAATATTGTATGTTATTATGATTATAATTAGTATTACAATTTCAGAATGTTGATTGCCGTAATAACTATAAATTTAACTTCATGCAACTCACACTCTTGTCTACTCTTTTTTTTATCAATATAAACCAATTAGTGAACACAATCAATAAAAAATCATAGGCAATACATGTTCACATTGATTACAATATAGCCAATCTCTAATTATAGAAAGGAAATTTCTATACAGTAGTAATCACAATTCACCACAGAATAGATTACAGAATAATTAATCTTTAATAATAGTGAATATGAATAGTATAATAATTATTATTAGGATGTTTTTTACTTGGACTGTTTTCAGTCCCAAATCAAATTAGACCAGACTTAAAAAGACCAGACCGATCCAGACCAGTTCACACCAGATCAGGGCAGACCAGACTTAAACAGAACAGACCACCCCAGCAAATTTCGGTGAGTAAAAACATCTTAAATGAATCAGTAACACCTTTCAAATAAACCAGTAACACTTTCGTTTACGAAATGACAAAAATTTAATACGTAATAGCACTAGCTACCTAAATATACAGAAAATCCTTTATTAGTGTAGTATAATTATTATTGACTTTATATGAGGACAATAAATAAAATTGTATAAAACGGCCAAAGTAAATACATAAAATTCTACTCCCTCTGTAACAAAAAAAAAACAGTTTCTTTTTTGTCCGTAACAAAAAATCTTCTCATTTTTAAATCTTTCTATCATACCCTCAATAATTCTGAAAATAATACACTATAACAACTATTTTTTTTATTTATCCTACATTTCATCACATTATTCTACTATCTTCCTATCATACAACAACAACAATAATATTCAAGCCTTAGTCCTAAAAGATATTGGGAATATCTTCCTATCATACCCTCAATAATTCATATCTTCTTTCACTATTCTTAATTTACCTACTTTTGAAATAGGAAGGAGTATAAATTAAGTTTTACAAAAGGTAATTAATCTGACCCCTTAGCTTTCAAAGTAATCATGAACCAGTTTTTTTTTTGCATGAACCGTTATATATAGGATTATATACAAACAAAATGTAAATACAATAATTGAACTCACCTTATTGATGGAGAAACATGAGCTCCAATAATTGTGCATCCCAGAAACAAATAGTTTCAGACAAGCTTTTGATTCCTAGCTATTCTATCCGAAAGTGAGATATGGATCGGAGGAAATAAACACACGGAGTTTTATGACTTTATGAGTAAAAAATTGATGACTTAGCTGGTGAGAGTTATTACATGGAGTAAATGTATAATAAAGGGAGTGGGTTTTAGGTAGAAAAACGGATGGGTCATTAGAGAGTGGGTCAACTATGTCTACATATTCCTTCCTAAAGTTTTGAGAGGGACATTTTCCTTTCTAATGGAATTAATAATTTTATTTATTTTATAATATAACAGAAAGGAAACAAGGTTCCTATCTAACGAGTCCAATTCCTTCCTAATTTAATTTATCCTCTATCGTAGCAAGTACCTTTCAAAATTCCTATCAAAATTAGATACAAACAATTTTTCCTCTCAAAGTCCTCTTTAATCTCTCCTTTTCTAGTAGTGGCAAAGAGTGGCACTCCTTCATGCAAGCCGCCGTCAAGCCCTCCTTCACCGGCCACCCTCGAATTCTCATCCCCTCTAATGAAGATGACCATTTGAAGGTGAGATCAATCAGCCTTGATCTTCGCTATGATTTTGCATTCCAGTTCACCGGCCATTCATCTTTGGCCAACGCCACCACCTCGCGTGGCTGTAGATTCAGGGTTCTGTGTTCCTACGATGGATTGGTGCTTCTTACGTTTGGGAAACACATTATGCTGTGGAACCCACTCTCGGGTTGGTCTTCCAAAGCTCTTGAGCTTCAACGCCTCCGAAAAGGTAAACAAGTAAACAACACAGGGTGGTAGGAGGGCTTTGTTACGATCCATCCACGTCCGATCACAAGGTTGTTTTACTACTTGATCATCTAATCTTTCGGTTTGATCCGCTTGTTATTGTTTCCGGCGTCAAAAATAAAGGTTGGCGAAGAGTGCATTCACTACAAGCAAACTGACATTACATGACACACAAAAAGTGTCAAGAAAAAATGTGAAAGTGTCAAGATAAACCCCTTGAAGGATTTACAACACACAAAAAAAGTGTCACTAGGAACAGTGTTAGGAAAAACCTTTCTTCACACTTAAAGACATGTGTTGGCAAATCTATTAACACTTTTCCCGACACACAAATGTGTCAAGAAATGTACTAAGCCCCCAACATTTTTATGTGTCAAGGAATGTATTTGGTGACACATGGGTCAATGAAATTCATGTTCCCTTATTTTATCTCATAATATGCTAGCTAATCATAACATTTCTGATATTAGTAATAAGAATGCGTTGATCAGATAAACACTTCATATCGAAAGTCACTAAATATATTTAAAATACTTCATAAAAAAAGTTTACAAGAGTAGGTTATCGTTAAAAACATGGAATTCAGAGTAAAAAGTCACAAGACAACAATGTAATAAATCTACTAAATCTCTAAGTAGCTCCTTTTGGTTGATGACTTTCGGTTGATGATCTATCCTTTGTAGGGGCCGGTTCACCGCCAATGATCTGCAAAATGTGGGTAGGATAGAACTTATTAACACTCTTTTGTTAAAATAAAAAAGAGCCAAACAAGAGATTTGAAGCAAAAAAAAACATACTCCGTAAATCTTTAAAGTGATTCATCATAGAAAGTATATGAGAATCAATTCACTCAATAATTGTTCCTACAACTTTATGTGTAGAAAGTACACTTTAAATATGTCACACATGGAAGTAATGCATGACATATAAAACATAAGTGTGCAAATTGTAAATCCTAAGAACATCTTAAGGCCAATCATTCAATGAAAATGCAGGTTACTGTGTCAGAACCACATTTAGATACAGAAGATATGACTGGTAACTCATAACACTACCTACTTTCTCTATATGAAACAAATTTATCAAAGTTCAAATGACTTCTACTTTCTGAAGCTCGCTTACTCCTTTCCGTACAAAAACTTAGATCATATGATAAGATTTTTGTAATAAATAACTCATTTAAAATTGGCAATCTTATAGCTGTTTTGGTTCCTAATCTGGAAGTCAAAAGAGTTCCAGATTATAGCTACTGGAAAGTCCTCCTTACTCATAAGAGTTCCTGTATTTTGGTCCCTCCTCTAAAATGGCAATTTTTATAGCAATTTTGGTTCCTAATCTGGAAAGTCAAAAGAGTTCATGTATTTCGGTTCCTATTCCAGATTATTATAACTACTGCACATTTAGAATCCTCCTTACTAAAAAGAGTTACCAAATCTGGAAAGTCACATTGATAGTGGCCTCAAACAAGCTAACTTGTTAAAACTTACAGGCTATAATGAAGTATTGTTATTATAATGAAACACTCCGGATTATAGGTAGTTCTTCTAATGAGTTGAGCAGGCAATGCCGGTCTTCCTGGCTGACCAATGAGGAAAGACAGAAGGCATAATCTAGTGGAATCTTTAATTTGTTGTTTTTTCAATTAACAAACATAACATGATTGCAATAAAATTTAAAAAAACAAAACTAACTTGTCTAAGTCCAATAAAGAAGGCCTACTCGAGTTCATACTAAGAAAAATGCAACAGATCTAAACAAAATTTTACCAACAGCCTAGAAACAGCCTACTCCAGACCATACCAAGGAAATTGCAACAGATCAAAGGGAAATTTTACCAACAGCCGACTCTAGTTCATACTAAGAAACAGCCTAGATGCCTTTTACAAATAGATCTAAGGAAATTTTCATGGCAAGCAGATCCATACTGGATCAATGCAATACTAAACTCTTAATCACTAAAATTCAGCATGTAAACAACACAAACGACTTCAAGAAAGAGCAAACTATAGTCTATAGATAAATAAAAGAAGTTAAATTTAGGAGTATGATAGTCGTATATACCTTTTATTGTGGAGTAAAATAATAATCCTTCACTAACCATTCCCAATCATCCTTACTTCAGCAGAAACAATTTTAAGAGCTTCATGCAGAGTCCTGTTCTTGACATATACGACATGCAATAAAGTATTAGCTTGGTTGGCTCAAACATGTATTCACCTTAATCAATTGGCAACCTTTAACTCACTTAAGGAACTTCAAGCTACTGTTAGAGGTGTTATTCTGCTAGATAGAGATGGTATACCTTGTTTTTGTAAATCAGTTCTTTTCTATATAAAAAAAAGTAGCTTCTTTCTCTTTAATTCTTTTCATCAAGACTTCATGAGTCAAGAAAACAAAACAGTTGAATAGTTATAAGAGAAACACTGCAGTTTTCCCCCTTTATCCCTGTTCTTTCCTGGGCTAAGATAAAGTACAATAATGGCAATAAGAGAATAAATTAATTTTGTTTTAACATTTCGAAGATTTCCTTTAATAAAAAATATGGATGTTAGGTATGACAATATCCCTAATGTTTGTTTTCTACTTCACCAATATGTGTTTTAATGTTTCTTTTCTCCTACTCTCGATACCGTGGCTAAAATTTAGTACATATGTGAGGCCAATTGACAGATCTGCTATAAAGCCTTCAAATTATGTTTATTGACATTTGACCGAGACCTCAAGTATCAAACAGATTTAAACAACAACCAGTCATGTGGTTGGAAGAAAAGTTAGAGCAGCACTGATATAGTTCTATACGGACAACTTACCAATAACTTTCTCATGCCACTAGATACTTTGAGCCTTGCACTTTCCTCTAAAGAATGCCCCAAGAGAACAAATCTAAGAAACATGACCTGCATCCTAAAATAAACAGCTTTCTGTGAAAAATCTCATAGATTATAAAATAGTGAAAGTAGTTAGTATTATCAATCAGTTAAATACATGCCTTTCTTTCTCAGTTCTGAATCTGAGCCCATGGAAGACAAATGACTTAAAAAAAGTGAAATGAAAGGATTAGTCACAATTAAAAAGAACTTTATATAGAATTACTTTCCTACATGTAAGTTGCAAATTCACGCATTCACCTCCAGAAAATAAGAGAAACATCACTGAAGTCTATAAGGAAAAAATTCATTATCTCATTTGGAATGTATCCACACAACAGGGGTGGGGGGCATGAACAAACTCGTTCATCTAAGAATGATGCATCCCATCGAAGCGTGGGATTAAGAAGTGATACCTGCAAAGAACTAAAAGTTTTCAATTTTCACTGAGGCCTACGGCAGAAATATGTAGCAGTATATTTTATCCTTAGCTTGTTAAGTATAGTACTCCATGTAAAACGAAAAACATCACCTCTTATTGAGACTAGTAAGGGTACATCTAAAGTATTAGCATTGGATACATCTCTATTCACAAGCAGCGTGCTCTTGACTCTTACTCAATGCAGACAAAGGAACACCTAAAAAATAAAGAATACTCAAATTATTACATGGGATTAATTTGATATAACAATCAACGTGTAATTACTCACATTCTAGTTATAATCCATCAAATACAAGATTATTACATGGGAAATAACCACATCTAAATATTGCAAATATTCACAAGCAATGATTTTAATTTTGATATAGATTACTTAAACTTTGGAACAAAAATCAGAAAGTTTTAACCAGAGTCGAAATACCTAACTTAGCGGATGAAAAAATTGAGTTTCAATGATTCAACCTGCGGAGAGTATCGTTGTTTGTCGCCGTTCGTCGCCGTTCGACGCCGTTCTTATCCGCTTGTCGCCTAGCTTCCTTTCAACTTCTTCTTTCCTCAGCCGGACCACACAGTCATCGCTCATATCTAGATCATCTCTGCCCAAGTTATTGTCGCCTGCCGCCGTTGCTACCAGTTGAGATCGAACAGATCTACTCACCGAATGAAGAAGATACGTAAAGTGGCGTTGAGTTCTGTTCTTAGATTTTTAGCGGATGGAGAAATAAAATGTGAGAGGACATTGTGTAGATGATACTCTGGGTAAATGTTTCTAATTTTTTTTTTTTAAAGTAACATTTTGGTGACACATAAGTGTCCATATATACTAGTTATTATGACACTTTTACATATGTCAACAAAGACCGAGTGTCAAGAATTGTAACATTTCTTGTAGTGATTTCCGGGCTAACTTCTCTACTTTGAGAGACGGTGTCAACTTTAACGATACATTTCATTGGATAGTTAGAGACACCCAACATCCCTGGGGACATGGGAACTATCGTGCTGGATGCAATAAGATCATTTATTTCGATCCGGTCCAAAATGTGTTCAATACATTGCCCTCCCCCAAACAGATCGGTTCAGAGGGGAAAGGGAGGATCGTTGGTACGGGAATCATAAATGAATGTTTTTGTGTGGCTCAAGAGGATGAAATAGCGCAAGTGATACGCGTGTCGGTTATGGAAGAATATGGAAAAGAAGAGTCTTGGGTCACATGCTTTGTCGGATTCGGAGCCTCTACCTTACTTTAGAGTAAGGTAGGGTGCCTTGCTTCTTCCGGGTCGTCCGATCAACAATTCAACGGTCGGAGATCTTGGACTCCACTTTTTCGCTAATCTCGAGGCCTGCTTTGCTACTGCCCGACCGTCCGATGCGCAAGGCACCGTCCTAGTCGGGCAGAGGATCCCAACCCATGCTTTGTCATCTCCATTTTGGATTTTGGATCAAATAATAGTTATATACACTTTTTGTCTCAAAGAAGAGAAGAGAATGTGTTGATGTTGTGTGATTATCATGGGAGAACATACATTTATCATTTATGATATGAAAAAACAGAGACTAAAACAGACCTTCCTTCTGTCAGGAGGTGATGATGATGCTCTTCATAGGTGTTTCTATGTTGAATCTAGCTTTTAATTCTCCAAGTGGAGTGAATTGGAGTGATGATGATCAGCACAAATGTGATTTTAGAATGATTTGAACATTTGTACCTTTCCTTTCTATGGTTAGACAAATTTATACGCAGCGGCGGACGCAGGATTTCCCGATTGCAGGGGCGGCAGTACAAGAATTTACATACAAATACATACGTACTACTGTGTCCGCCACTGTTTATACGTAGTATTTTCTTTTCCCGGACGCAGGAGTATATATTAAAATTTTTGGGGTAAATATACCTAGAATTTTTTTCCCCTTTGTGTCCGCCACTGTTTATACGTAGTATTTTCTTTTCTAGCTAGAGATTTATATTTTAGGATCAGACGACCAATTTAAGGAGTAATAATTTAAAGAGCCCAGCATTTACGTTTTCTTTTGATGCAATATTACAGTTATATTCCAATCATGTTATTATGATACGTAGTAATAAGCAATCATGCATGAGGATCGAGTGTGGAGACGTGGAGTTGGACTTTATTAATTTGGTCCCTAGCTAGACTGACTTGTGAATGTAGTGTGTGCTGTGAATTGCCGGAGTTTGAAGATGCTCTCAAATTCTAAAATAAGATTGTTATATTTTTCTTCTCGAATGAAAGAGAAGTTATTAGGTATTGCATGTTTTGCAGGCAGATATATTTCTAGACAATATATATATGCAAGTTTTCATTTAGTTCATATAGCTAGTATATCATTATCTTGATATATAAATCAGATATGTGTGTGGGAAATCTCTAATTTTGATGTAGTTTCGAGGTACATATTACTCCATCAGTAACAAAAAGATATTTCCATTTTGAAAGTAAGTATATTAAGAATGGTGAAAGAAAATACTTTCTTCGTTCTTTTTTAGTTGCAACATTCCTTTTTTTCACGTTTGCCAACACACAATTTTGACCGGACCGTCATTATATCTAAGGGGGAATTAGACTTTGCACCCCACTTTTTGGGTAATATTTGACTTTGCACCCCATTTTAGAAAAACTTTGACTTTGCACCCCATCAAATACATTTTGTGAAGGAAAATTTCTAAATGGGGTGCAAAGTCAAAAGATTTTGAAGTGAAATAGGGTGCAAACTCAAAGTTTTTTTAAAATGGGGTGCAAAGTCCAATATCATCTAAAAAGTGGGGTGCAAACTCAAATCCCCCCTATATCTAATTATGTATTAGTAGAAAAAATAATTAAAAAACAGATTATGAAACTTAATAATGAGAGGAATTCAACCATATTTTCAAAAAAAAATCACAAGATTAAATTAAATAAAGTGTAGTAGAGGACATGAATAGTGTATAAATTGCAATGTTGCAATTAATGCTATACAGACAATATGGAAAAGATTATTGAGGGTATGATGAAAAAATGATGAAATGAATGATAAATTTAAAAAAAAAAGTAATTGTAAACTTGTAATAGTGCATTACTTTCAAAATTAATGAGGGTATGATATGAAGATCTTTTTGTTACGGAAGTAGTACATATTACGGAGTAGTATATAAATTCTAACAGCAACATATAACTAATTTGTCACCTACTACGTACTATTTACTAATTTTACTCCATCCATCCCCCAATTAAGTTCCCAATTTAACTTTTATGATCTTCTAGGTGAACGTTTGACCCTAAGTATATAGAAATTTATACTTATACTCCCTCCGTTCTGAAAAGGTATGCCAAATTTCCTTTTTTGGATGTCCCAAAAGGATTTGTCATTTCCATTTAAAGGAATATGTGGCTAAAGTTAATTCTCTCTCCTCTGCATAAATTTCAACCACATAGTTTTTACTTTATTAACTCACGTGAAAGTCAAATTTGGTCAACCTTTTTCGGGATGGAGGGAGTAAAATCTGATATAAATTAATGTTTGATTAATATACATTCCAGTGAAGTATATAAAATTAATTTTGTAGCATAAAATAATGTAAATTATGAATAATTAATTGTCAAAATTTTTAAAGATTGACCCAAAAAGTGCAAAAGTAATGCGAATGTTTAAAGAAGGATTCTTCTGTTCAATTAACGTGTTGTCTCATTCTCTCTGACTGAGCCAAACAAATTCAATTCCTTTGCCATTTTACTTTCCCAGCAAGTTTACAACTTCATTCAGAACCTCTTTGGAAGACTTATAAATACATGTGACATGTCCACATAGAACTACAATAATCATTAATCATCTATCTAGTTCACCCAAATCTGTGCTAAACAAATACACCATATATTTTCCTTTGACAGAATACTCCCAGAAGTTTAAGGCTTTAATTTTCAAAGTTACAAAAAGTCCAGCCAGTTGGAACTTGGAGGCCTCATCTCATCTCAATGTTTACCCAGAAGAATCATAACCATGCTTTGGGGCAAGAACTCCATGAAGATCATAAACATGATATTCCAGCATACAAAGAAGTTGTGGCAAAGAGCAAAGATTTTCTCATGAAAAATTTTCCAGATATTTATGATGAGTCCTTACATATCCTTGAAAAGCTTGAGGAGATGAAAAGGCAAAGAAAGGAAAGGAAAAGTCGGGTTGTGCAAAGAAGTTTGAGTCTCGGCTCACCCCGAAAGTTTAAGCTTCAAAGGTTTAGAGTAAAGACTCCAAATGTAATTCTCGTGACTCGACCCGAGGGTCAAGGTGGTCAATTTAGCAACCAAACTAATGGTTCCAAAGACATTATTAGTGGATCTTAATCAGTACGAGTATTTTATTTTAGAAATTAGTAAGTTGCATAAACTGTACAAATATCATTAGCTTCTCTATTAAGTAGTGATTTAATTTTATTCCATATTGTTTCTCGTTTTGTTATTATCGGTTTATCAGAAATTCGGAATTGTTAGTCGCTTACCTAGCTTCTTTTTTTGCATCAATGTCACTGGGACAACCAGAGAATTGAAATATACTCGTCCCCTAACTTTGTCCCGTTTAACCTTTTCGTCCGTCCCATTAAGTTTGTCTCATACCATATTTGATAATATTTGGACGGTTACAATTCATTCTTACTTTCTTGACACTTTATCAATTCAATACTAACCACACAATTCTACTTTTTCTTAAAAGTTGTACCGCATACCTTTGTCCCAAACATGGGTCTTTTTTGTAAAACAAGTCTCACCTTGCTGTGTTTTGTCCAAAAGATCTAGCAAAAGTTTAATTTCTGTTGAAAGAATTAACCTATTTATCCCTACACCTTGAGTAATATCTGTTGGGGAAACACATCCAGACATCTTTCGGCATCACGAGTGGAAGATTTACGTCAGTGACGGAATTAGGGATCAACCAACCTAGGCCTCAATTCACCCCATGAGATACAAAAACTCAATGAGATAATAAGGGAGTGTTTGCATTTGATTAAAAAAAGTGATTTTCGGCTTTTGGCTTAAAAAAAGTTAAAAATAGTGTTTTCAAATGACAGCTTTTGCTTAAATTAATCACTTAAAAGCTAAAAGCTGAAAGCAGGTGGAAGGGTGCTTTAAACTGCTTTTCACTTTTTCTATTACACAAAAAGTACTTCTTTTACCAAACACTACCAACTTTTACTTTTTCAGAATCACTTTTTCTTCAAACACTACCAACTTTTACTATTAATCATTTTTCCCAAAATCACTTTAAAAAATCACTTCTTTAAAGTTAAGGCAATTGCAAACACTCCCTAAATAGACTTTGCACTATATAACCAAACGTACAAGATAGATTATACTATCGTACGAGTGAATGGGTAACTAAATTCAGTCTTTCTAGTTGGGATATACTCCACTCTTTATTATGAGAAGTCTTTCTTCCTGACTTCTTTTTAAAGGTCTAGATATTGGCTTTCTCTAATATCTTTCACACACTTCTACATTCTAGATTCTTTCAAAAAGTCTCCACAAGCTTCCATAAACTTCTGGAAAAATCTAGATGACTCCACAATCCACACTTATTAAAATAGTCGAGACAAGTCTACAATTTTCTGAACTTTTGTAGAAATTCCCACATTTCTCTAGAGACTAGAATATTATAGAAGACTCCATAATATTCTACGCATATCAAGAAAATATCTACTTACTTGATAATAAAGTAGCGCAATTACTAAATTATGATATTACTTTTGAGTAGAGCAAATAGATTGTCATTAAATTTGACATTTTTAGATCGTTCATATTTGACATTCAACATTTTGAATTTTGAATATTGATTACTTTACCAATTTAATGAGATTATGAGATCATTGAAAGTACAAATAAAGGAAATAAATTAAATACGAGTAATCGACATTGATATCAAATACAAATAAAAGATTGACCATACATATATACTTAATACGAGTAATAAAGTATAACCTTCAAATTGAAATTGAGTTATCAACTAATTGATACTGAGTCCAATAGTGAGTAGTCATTAATTGCCAATAAGTCCTAAATTCATACTCCCTTTGTCCCATATCATAAGATATCTTTACTATTCACTTGGTCAACACAAATCACTCTTAATCTCTTATTTTATATATCAAAATTTTATTAAATTTGAAATATTTTTTGCAGGATTTGTAGCGGTTTTAATGTAGTTTCTGAATATGTAATTTTGTTTTTCTAAAAATAATTTGACTACAGACAGGGATCCGTTTGCTTTATCGTCGGTCAAACCTCGTAAAGCGAAAAGTATCTTATAATTTGGGAAGGATGGGGTAATATTATACTGGAGAAAAGTGCACCTCCTTTCTTAATTCTGCGTCTGGCCGCCACGATTCGAAGCGGTTCTCTGTGAATATTTTCGGTGAAATCTTTTGACCATGTTATTCATGAAGTTTAGATTATGTCTACAGAATTTAAGTTCAAAAATATTTGGGAAGTCAATTAAATAAATAATTGAAAAACACTGCATTTTAAATACATATTTTGGCGCAGTGTTTTCAATAAATTTTTAAATGACTTGCTGATTGAATTTTAAGCTGAAATTTTGTGTACATAATCTAAATTCATGTCGAACATACTCACAAAATTTCATCAAAAGCTCCACCGGGAATCGCTTCAAATCACGACGGCAGTTCCGGTCAGGGGATCGTGACCGGAATATTACTCTATTATTAGACTTTTATCTATTTAATTTTTTTAAATAATTTTGTTGCTAATTTTTTATGATTCTTTCTTCACAAAAGTTTCTTAGTTTTATAACATTAAATAATATTTATTTTTCGAAAGAATATTAAAACTCATGAAGTTTTAAGTCTTAGATTGATAATTTTCAATCATTCAATCCCTATATTGATATTTTTTTTTATCTTTCAGGTCGCTTATTGATAATGATTATAGGGATGGCAATGGGGCGGGTTTGGGGCGGGGGTACACTCCCTCATCCCCCGCCCCATGTCTAAAAAGTTCCCCCCATCCCCGCCCCATCCCCCGTTACTCCCGGACCCGCCCCATCCCCGCCCCACCCCGTTGTCCCCCACGGGTGCCCACGGGTATCCCCATATAAATTTAATTTATCGTATTTGCATATACTTTTAATCTCTTATTATAAATATGTGTAGTGCGATTTCAATGAGAACGATGTTTAACGTGGGAACACTCACATTTAATCTAGTGTGATACACAATAGAGTCATTCTAGTGCACATTTGGACTTTGCTCAATACAAGCTAATATAAATAATCATGGTGGCACTTTTGAAAAAATCATGCTAGATACGAAAAAGTTCATTGTGCAAGCCCATTGTGTTTCACATTGGGTGTAAATGTGGTGTTTGCACGTTCTCATGTTAAGTGTTGTTCTTATTTGATCCTAAACCTATATATATCTACGCGCACACAGTAATATATGATACACACACGCAACACTGCAGTATTGTGTTTGTTAAAAGTTAATACCACCAATTTTAATAATTCTTCATTTTGAATAAGTTTTGTGAATTGAAGACAATTAAAGTAAAAATATAGGTAAACATATTATCATCATGTACGTTGTTTCAAAATTCTCAACACTTATTATACAATTAATTACATACTTCGTATTATATTACATATAAATGTGTGTGTGTTTATTTACACACTTTTTCACTCTTAAAACTCATATAACATTTATGATAAATATTTTTAATCATTACTAGCTAGCTTATTATTATTATTCTAGTATAATATGTATTAATTCATTAATCATGATTAAACCGTATACAATTATGTATGTCTATATGTATATGTGTTCGTTATATACTACATATAATTTAATATGTGTGTACATTATTTATATATATGTGGATATATATGTTTAAGTATATATTTATAACGGGGACGGGGCGGGTGTAGCAATACCCATCCCCCGCCCCATATTTTAACGGCGTAAAAAAATCTCACTCATCCCCGTCCCCACCCCTCCCCAAGCCCCGCCCCAACCTTCCCTCGCGAGGCGGTTCCCCACGGGTCCCCGCCCCCATTGCCATCCTCTTAATAATGAACCTATCTTTCTGGTCCTGAATTGATAAAATTCAATTTTTCAAGTAAACTACACAGAAAAATATCATTCCATTTAGAGATAATATGTATATTTGGAATATTTTATAATATTGAATTCATTCCATATTTTTGAATCTTTATCGAATTGGTTCTAGAAACCATACATAATTAGTAAAACTTTCATTTGGTATTTTGAAATACTTTGTATAATCTGTTCCGATAAAATACGTATATTTTGAAATGTTTTGTACAGTTCATATTTCTTTCAATTTATATACTAATACTATAGGTCAAATCCATGCAATGCACGGATGACCAATAATATGCAAGAATTATTAGTTCACTTGTAATATACTGTATATATTGCGTATAACTTTTCTTGAAAAGTAACTTAATTAATTGTATTTCATATTCATACATATTTATTCAAATGCACAGTATAATTTTTCTATAATTTTTCTATTCTATAATATTAAGTTGCTTTTAATGATAATAGTTATTTTCATTTAAAGGAATAAAAAATATACGGAGTATAAAAGAATAAATTGAATTTTCAAAATTTACATTTTGTAGTTACTAGTAAAATTATCTTTCTAATCACACTTAAAATAGGAGAAGAATTTAAATATATGAATTGAGATTTTCAATTTAAAGAATTCAAATCATACTGATAAGGTATGATATACGTAGTAATAAGTAAATTGTATGTACATACACATTGTATGATTCTCCTAAAAAGTATAAATTATACGAGTATTTATCTCTACTTTTATATTCTCCATAAAAATATGGGATTTGTATTTTTCTAATACATATTAAAAAATTAATTGGGCTAATTAAAAGTATATAATAATGACATGGCACACTGTGTGCTCCTGAAAAGTTTCATTTTCATATATTTATTCCGTTCTTTGTTAGATACTCCCTCCGTCCCACTTTAAGGTTCCCACACGATTTACGATGTTTGACTGACCATAAAGTTGACTGATCCCTGTCATTAATAGAATTATTTTTAGTAAATAAAATTTACATATTCAGAAACTACATTAAACCCGCTACAAAACCTGCAAAAAATGATTTAAATTTCATAAACTTTCGATATAAAAAGTAAAAGATTAAGAACAATGCACGTTGACCGGAGAATAGTGTACGTGAACCTTTAAATGGGACGGAGGGAGTACAACATTTCCATTTCCACTATTGTCAACATGCTACATTGATTATTATATATAATTCGCTACAAGTAAAAAATTAGAAAACAAAAAGATTTTTGGAAATTTAAATTGAGACCAGTTGAACAATATTTTTCAAATGTCTAATACATTAATAAATAAAATATAATCAATGTAGGACATGTACTTATATATATTGATTTTGTGTCATTCTATTTCAATAAATGGAATCACACGAACACATTAAGATCTAAAAAAATTGTAGAAAATGCACGGTGCAAGTAATTATTGGTCATATATATTAAATAAAATTTATCCATGTCTTCTACATATATACTTTTAACTCATCATTTGATATCCTATTTCCATAAATATTGTTGCACTACCTTCAATATTCATTAAGGAAGTACGAAGGCAAAAATGTTGCATTCCGTGTCTTTTATTATAAGGGATGAAACTATGATGATTCACGAGGTTTGTTTTAAGGTTTTAGACCTTACACCAAGAAACATCATGAGTAACTACATGCTATTGTTGATCAATGACCTGTGAGTTACATAAATTGGTTCAATTAATATTATTCATTCGTTCACCGATACTACCTTCCGTGTTGATATGTACACTGTCGAATATTTTAATGGCGCTTCAATGGCTGAATTGGCCAACCATGTCATCCATTTGAATATCGAAGCTCCAATAATGCATGTTATTGAGGAATATTAATCACGCATAAATTTTACCAATAGAATGTGATTGGTCATAATCAGATTAGCAAGTATATATGAGAAGTAATAACTCGGAAAACTATCGATGATAAAGTTTACATATTGAGAATTTCATTTTCACCATATGACAACTTTGTTTAATTTCCGAAGAAAGCAATTTCTCGTGATGGTAAACTTTGCAATGACAATCAATAAAAGTCCAGGCTAAATGTTACAGTATCACATAAAGTTTGATTTATATCTTCATACATAAGTTTCATTAATGACCAATTGTGCATTGCAATACCAAGAGTAATGAGTAAAGTCATCTTAAGAGTCATACTTTCAAAAGAACCAAATTTCTTCACCAAGACGGGGAATATTGTTTATAAGGAGGTTTCCCAAAACTTAACATTGTGATGTTTGGTGTGTGCACTGTTACATTACAATGTCAATTTTTAATAGGGAAAAGGGTCAGATAGACCCTCGAACTTACATAAAAATATCAAATAAGCCCTTATATAGGAGGCTCTGTCCGGCCGTCGCCATTTGGGACGATTCCCGGTGGAATTTTTATTTCTTTATTTTTATCCCTACACACCTTTTTATTCCCTTTATCTATTCTTTTGTTCTTATTTCTTTTCTATATTTATTATTCCATTTCTCACTCTATTAAGAGATTTTTTTTTTTGTAAAATTTCCTTCCCAAATAGATTTTTGTCATTTTTTATCTTTCAGTATTTTTATTTCATTCCCCTTTTATGATTCTCTTCTTAATCGTTTTCTTTTTATCAAAGATCTTTTCCCACTCCACTTTTGCTTACATTTTCTTTTTATTTTCACTTTTCCCTTTTTTCTTCGTATTACTTTTTTTATGTTTATTCTTCTTTGTTCTTTTGTTTCTTCTTTTTATTTTAATTCCACCATCAATTTATTTTTCTTCCTTCTTCATTATTGTATTTTTCTAAGTAAATCCACCCATTATTTGCATCAATTATGGGAAAAACTCTATGTGATAAAATAAATAGGGAAAAACAAAAATATAAAACTCGGGAAATGTAAAGAAAATAATCCATTCAGGAAAATGATGAGGACTGTGTTGGGTGATGGAGGCAGGCCTGCGGTGATGGTGGTGGGGTAGGGCTCGGCGTGTGGTGGAGGAGTGGGTGGAAGCGGTTAATATTTTGTGGTGGTCACCGGAATCACTATCAACGGCTTTGATTATTGGGGCGGCGAGGGTCACCGGTGGCGAGGGCGGCGATATGTAACCGTAACTAGCGAACGAATAGGTCACTATCAGGAGAAATTGTAATTGTCACTAATGAACGAATAGGTCACTGTTCAGAGAAATGTAATTGTCACTAATGTAATTGTAATCAATATAATTAATATGATTGTAATGTTAGTCACTATTATAATATTGGTCACTGTCACTGGGTATACGTGTAACTGTCATTGGTCACTGGTCACTGTGACAATAGTTGAAATTGGTCACTGTAACGGGTTACTGTAGCAGGTCAGTTCGGTTTGGGCTTAGTAAGGGTGTAATAGTCGTCATTTTACTATTTTTAGTCAAATTTTTGGAACATAAAAAAAAGGTCACTTGTTTGTCCAAATCTCTTTTTGTAGTACTTCCTCCGTTCCCAAAAATACTTCCCATTTTCCTTTTTGGTTCGTTCCCAAACAGTGGCGGATTTGGAACTCAAATTTTGGGAGTTCAATGCTTTTGTATAACTAGAAATTTTAATAGTATTAAATAATTATAATAAATTTATACATATATACTTAAATGTTTTACAAAAATCTGGGTGTTCATATGAACACCTTAGAACACATGTGGCTCCGTCACTGTTCCCAAAAATACTTCTCACTTTCCCTTTTTGGACAATTTGTGTGGCTCACATTCATTTTACCTTTTTCTTACACAACCACAACCATAATAAGTGTGTCAAGTGAAACCGGGAAGGATTTTTAGGAACGGAGGTAGTAATATGTTAGACATAACTCCTACTATCTATTTCTATTACATATACTAGATTCTCAACCCCTGCGTTGCACGGGATGCGTAGTTTATATGTTTAATTATGCCAAATCAAACATTTGTATTTGACTTCAAATATAATTTATAATGCTGATAATTTAGATACTTGGATTATCAAAAGGGCTTGAATTGAGTGATAATACCATTAATAAGAGTACGAAATAATATTCTCTGAGAACTGAACAAAATAATTAAAAAAATGAAATTGACCGACAAAACTGCCGAAATTTAATAAAAGACCCGAGTGAAATTAACCTGACTAAAGTGGTCGGTTGCTGGAGAAACTAAACTGGTCAGATGTTATTCTGGAAAACATTCATATTAACCCACTCACCGAACGACCGACATATTTAAAAGACGCACGGGTATAAAGTAAATTACCATTAGGCTGACTGAGTCACCGTGACTTACAATCTCCCAAAAGCTTTTTCGGTCGGAGCATGGGGGGCCTTGGGGTTGGGTATTCAACCTTTTGAAGAACGTTTAAAAAATATAAAAATGTAGGAACAATGAGATATGTTGAGTTCAGAGTGATGAAAGCCGGAGTTCTAATTGTTCTAAAACAACATCAAACCCTTAAAATTGCCTTGAGACCTCAGTGACTCACATGCCAAGAAGGCCTCAAAAAATAAAGCTATTAATCAGTGGCGGAGCAAAAATGTGTTAGGGGGTCGAAATTTATTTATAGGCTAAAGGGTCAAATAGGTCTCTGTACCCGTTTCAATAGCTCAATTACATACCTGAACCCAAAAAAGGGCCAATCCGATCCACGAACCCCTTAAATTCGTCCAAGATTTACTTTTGGCCGGTAAACTCTCGGTTGCCTCTCCAACTTATTAGTATAATGCTGAGTCAACTTAAAGAAAGAGTTTAATAATATTTAATATTTTGCTGAGTCACCCTTATCCTTCTATATCAGATCCAAAACCCAACATATTAGTTTCAACGGTTCTAAATTGGGAAGAAAGAAAATTGATTAACCTGAGGCTCCAGTGCTCCGACCTGGGTAGAAGAAGAAAACGAGAGCAGCTCCTAATGTGTGATTCAGTAATGTCATCCCCAGGGGGGAAAATAGGCCGCATGAGGCCTCAGTTAATTGCACATGTGGTGTGAGAGCTCGGTTGTGTACGGCGCGGGAGAGCGGACAACAATTTTACGGATGCAAAAAATGGAAGGTAAGATAGTTTATAGTTATACTAATTTGTGTAATCTTAGTGATTAAAATGTTTGGTGTTTGCAATTGTGATTATGTGTTTTCCTTTTCAATTTTAGGACTGGTTGGGTTGTGGATACTTTCTTTGGAAGGAAGACCTTGTGTGCCCAAGAAATGACAGAGACAATGATGTAGTCACACAACTTGGTTCTTCAGAAACAAAAGCTACCACACTTGAGGCTTTGAAGACCCTAATGTTGGCACAACAGAGAGATATTACTACGATAAAAAAATATCCTCCAGAAGGAAGCTAAAGAGAAGAAAATCTGGAAAAAAATGTACTGTGTGCAGTTTTTGTAATAGTTTTTGTGGCTACTTTTATTGGAAGGAAAGTATAAGCTTTATTATAAATTGTAGTGTGGTTTGGTTGGTGGTAGTGGTGGCTGGGTACTGATGTAGTATTTTGATGCACTCTCAAGTGTATTGGTATTGTTTAGAAAGTGTAGTTACTGGTAGTGTTGGCTAGGTTTATTGTTTGGTGACTTTGGCTAGGTTTTGTGATGTACTATAAAGTTAGTGTGCTTTGAATTTATTGTGATGCAGCTGGTATTTTTCTGAAATTTTACTTTGGTTTTTTACGTTACTTGCTCAGTTTTACTATAGTTCTTAAGTTCTGAAATTTCTGAAGTTCTTCTACATATAAGCTTCCATACATAATAATATTTTGGATGGGTTGTTTCCCTGTGAAGTGGCACATGGTAAAGGACGTACCTAACAGTTTGTTGAAGCACAATACATTTGAATACAATGAGAACAAGCCTATCACAAACAGTAGGGACACTCAAGAGTTTAAGTTGGATGGACACTCAAGCCATGGACTGCAAATGATTAACATATTCAAGGACCACACTAGGAAGCAGTGTATCCTTGATGATTTTGAGTTTGACAATACTGCCAGAAGAGAATTCAAGATAAAATAGGGCTGCAGCAGATGGATCTTAGGTCATGTTTTATATATTCTATGAAATGGGGTTGACCATGGGGTTGAAGTTTGTTGGAAGGTTAGCAGATGCATTTTTTCTTTGTTGGTCTCCCTGCTTGGGCACATAATTCTAAACTGCTAGGTAACAGAAAAATGCATGACCAACCTGAAAGCTTCCATACACAATTCATACACAATTCATATACAGAATTCATACACAGAAAAATGCCAACACAATTTTGAATGTAAGCTTTCATACACAATTCATTAACAAACTGAAAATTACACAACAACAACAACCTGCTTAATATACATTTAATGTACACAGTAAAGTAAATTGACAACACTCATATGTGGGTGGGTTGTCTGAAGAATGTAGTTCTGCGGTATATGAACTCTCAGCTTCTTGTTCATTTACAGTTTGAGTCATTTTTTGCTTGGACTGCACCCTCAACACTTGTTCGTCGTGACAAGAGTGCACTTCAACATTGCATAATTGATTAAGCCCAACACTAGATTCATCGGAGTCATTACCATCAGATTCATCACACCCATTCCCATCAACATGCTTTACATGTTCATCACCATGTAATGATCCAATATCATCAAAATCAGGTTCATCACTCATGTATGTGTCATCTCTTTGATCAAGAAGCCCATCCATTTCCACTGCATCCACATTCTGTGTACCAACACCAGCACCATCCCCATTCACTACATACAAGTCACATTTTCCAACACTAGAACACATACTTACCAACTCCAAAGTGCTTGCATCATCCACTAAAATCCTTGATGCTTCTAAAGGTTCAGATGGCAGTTTGTAAAGCATTTCTTTCACATATCCAAATGGCCCAGATTCAAGAAACTTCTTCAAATGAGGATAAGAATTGACATCGGGGTCACTCTTAATTACTTCAATGCACCCATTCACATATCGCGTTGGTTTGCCCCTTTCAAATGTTCCACCGTAGTGCACAACAATATCCAAAGTCTGCCACATTCTGAGAAATATAACATTTTTTAAACAAACTAACACCACATATAGTAAAAATTTGAGAATATGAACCACAAAGTAAAATAAGCATATTGAAATCTAGTATTTGTAATGCTTCGGTGAGGAAACTTTGGATTTTGAAAACCAATTTTTATGTACATATTAATGTTTACAGATATAAATAATTAAATCATATTGAAGTGAACTGATAAGCAATTCAGTAAAAAGGAACCACTTCCAAAGAGTGAAAATCCAAAGCTGGGTAATCAAATTAATTTGGGGCCCCAATTAATTTCCCTAACTAAAATTAAATCATTGTGATAACAAGATGGAGGCTTCTTATGAGTTGAAACCCCTGTTCAGCCAGATAGAGAGGACAAATCATTATAAGAGGATATGGTCTGGCCTCGTAATACACATACAACTGTAAATTTGGATCTTCTCTATTACGAACACATATATTTTTGAAGTAAGAAATGGTTTTTCCATACCTGATTATTTAGGTCTGCTCTATAACTCTTCGACCTTCAATAATAATCCTTCACCTTTCGTCCTACTCTTCTTCCTTAGATCTTCGCCGTCGTACAATACTCATCACTGTTCATCCACGCTTTTCACTCCGTTTTTGAATTGCAGATATTGGCTTACACCTTTATTCAATACCTTCGCACACATATTCCTTCTTCTGTGTAATGTCATTTTGTTCAGTCCACGTCATACAATATTTGGCATTTTACCGGTTGACTGGGCTTTTAAAAGTGACCTTACCGGCCAAAAGTAAATCTTGGACGAATTTAAGGGGTTCGTGAATCGGATTGGCCCTTTCTTGGGTTCAGGTATGTAATTGAGCTATTGAAACGGGTACAGGTACCTATTTGACCCTTTAGCCTTATTTATATACAATGTCGAAATGGTAAATTTTTATTAAATGATACTTGAGTTAAATGTTTCATATGTAGCTGAGATAAATGGTAGTTTATTTATACTTTTCCAGTTAATGTATTGATATATGTAATGTATCATAAAGTTCACACAACAAATGAGCGAATAAGGTGTTTTTTTTTAAATTTAAGAATATAATCAATATTACTCATCAAATTTTGTTTATATCAAGTTAAGATGATGCTGATTTTACTAAGTTTTTACTCATAATGAGTTACGGGACCCATAATATATCAAATCCAAGGTATTTCAGAGTTATACATTGTCGAACTCTCGGCGGGGTCGGCTGATCATCCCGACCCCCTTGGCTCCGCCCCTGCTATTAGTACCATGCATAATTGAAAGTGGAAAAGCCTCCAAGGTTCCAGCAAAGTGAGAAAGTATTCAACACCCAATCTCTGGCAATCAATAGCCTCCACAGTAGGCAATTGAAGCAAACCGGCAATCAATTGGCAATATAATGAGACAATTGCTGCAACTCCCAACTTCCCACCTCCTGATCTCTGTTGTGGTATTCCCAACTCCCAATCTCTGTTGTACGTTTGTCGTAAACCATCCCACAAAGGAGCACTGAATAACTTGAAGTCTACCTCCAAAATTTAAAGATGCGCCCTGCTGTTTTTCAGTACTCCATCTCTTCCAAAGAATTTTGTCTCCTCCCAGCTGGCCAGTGATGGCCCTCCATCGTAGATTCGTAGCTCACACACACTGCAAGAGAGAAAGCAACGATTTTTTTTATAATAGCAAAGTGGAGGGCAGATATTCGTGTGGATGAGTGATCTCGTATCATCTTTTCCCCGGGTTTAATGCACCAAACCCCCCTGTGAATTGGAAATTCGGCGCATTAGCCCCTTGTGATTTAAAAAATGCGTCAAACCCCCCTGTGTTTTAATTAATCATGCGTCAAATCCCTTATGTTAACAAATTCAATTGTCAAATAAAAGAAAAATGATTAACATTTTTGTATGATTCAGAGATTTTGACATATTTATTTGCATATTCAATCAAAATATTAGGAAAAGTGATTTTCAAATTGTTAAATTTATTCATAAAGGGGGTTCTGTGTATGATTAATTAAAACACAGGGGGGTTTGACGCATTTTTTAAATCACAGGGGGCTAATGCGCCGAATTTCCAATTCACAGGGGGGTTTGGTGCATTAAACCCTCTTTTCCCCTCATCTTTTTTTTCTTATTTTTTTATCCTTTTATCCTTATATATAAATATCATTTTTATCCTATTTATTTTATCATTTGTATGTATATTCATCTCTTTTTATGTTATCTCTTTTATGATAGCTTCTCCTTTTTATCGTTATTTTCTTTCTTTTCCTTTTGGTGGTGATATCATGTATTCAAGGGCGGAACCGGGGGGAGCGAGCCGGTGCCGGCGCCACCCCTTCGCCGGAGTTTTTTTAGTAGTAGTATTAGGTTTATCGGCTGGCGCCCCTTCGTCTTCTTCACATAGAGCTTCCATGCGCCCCTGCTATGGCGAGATTCAGCGAAGCAGAAGACCGAAGAAAGGCCGGTGTAGCCTGTTTTCTTTTTAATTAAATCAATAAACCAAACGACGTTGTTTGGTTAAGTGCACAGAAACAATTGAAACGACGTCGTTTTCTCCACAGTTCTGAATTTATCCAATTCACATTTCTCTTGGCCTCCGCGTTTCCCCAATTCGCGTTTCTCTTGGCCTTTCCGTTTCCCCAATTCGTGTTCCTCAAGGCCCGTTTCACTTGGGCCGTTCCAGTCTTGAGAGCTGAACGCAGTGGGAAGAATTTCCGCCTTCGTCCTGACTCCAGAGTTCCGCAAACCGACAGACCGCAGACGGCAGACCGCCTTCGTGGCTCATTGCAGACTTCCAGTTTGAGACTTCGAACTTCCGCCTTGATCCACAGGTTCGCAAACGGCAGTTAACTTTGAGAGTTTTTTACTCCAGGTTGAAACTTGGAACTTCGGCCTCGTGTTTCTCCAGACATCCGAAGTAAGGCCAGTTTCTTGGGCTAGTTTGGTAAGTAATTTTATAATTGAAATATGTTTTAATTACTTTTATTGGTTATATGCTTTAATTAATTATTTAATTTGAAATTGGATTGATTAATTGCTTTATGGTTTGATTTTTTTGCAAGCTTATAAGCTTATTGATTCATCAGTTTAATTTCTTTTTAGTGTAATTGATTAATTGCTTGAATTGGTATAACCGTATAAAGTTGAAATTGATTGTGCAATTTTTTTATTAATTAGTTTCGTTGCTTTATATGTTTTTAATTTTAATTCATTATAACTATTTAAGAATTTGAAATTGGGAACTTTTTTGACTTGTTAGGTTACTCATGCAATCATGTTTTTAACTATATAATGTACTCTTCTTACAAATTTCATTCTGGTTTCGCCACTGCATGTATTGATTCATGTTAGCCGACTCCAATATCTTTTGGGATTAAAATTGGATATTGTTGTTGTAAGAAGTGATCTTGAGACTTTATGTTATTTTATTTGTCTTGAGCTTTAAATAACCATCATTTGTGATGGGATTCCTCCTAATTTTCTATGCTTCATACTTTGAATGCTTTATACTTTCAATAATACTCCGTACTACCTTAAATATTGAACCTTCTTGCTTTGTGCTTGGATCTTCCAATCAATGGAGTCAGGCTCAAGTTTACTCAATAATGCCATTTTTAGAGCCATGTGACGCTAAGATATTTCATATGAGTGAATGTTTAGTGTTACACCGTTAGGTATGGGTTTATATGGACATATCCGCCAGTTCCTTTTTTTTGCGTGACAGTTTTTTTTTTGTAAATACACATGGGGTTTTGGCGCAAATATTACTAAAAAATATGTAATGGGCAAAAAAGAGACCTTTTTTCTTAAATCCCCAAAAAGAGACTAATAAAGATTTTCTTTACTAATTTGCCCTTCATAAGCCTGGAGCACCGTACGTAGCGCAGGGAACACCGTAACTTTCACAACTAATGCTTTTTTAAAACTTAATACTCCGTAATATTTTTTAAGAAATAGGAGTAATGGTCAAGATATTACTTCCAAGGTTTGGGTGGACCCAAATGTGACCAATTTTTGAGTTGACAAAAAACTGACCCAAATACTTTCGTATACTTGCAGCCCATCGAGGAATTCACCCGTAGCCATCTCCTTCATCTAACATTGCACGCAGCCACGGATGAAGAAGAAGACCTAGCCCAAACCTCTTCTCCGCCGCTCTCCTAGCGTCACCGCCACAATCATAGTGTCGCCTCCGCCGTCGTACTCCTGTCGCACCTCCCGTAACTCTTCTTCTTCCCATTTCTTCTTCGACCGATTGCAACTGAATCCAACTAGTTTCTCCGCCGCCTATAACCGAACTGAAATCGATAGTTTCTTCGTCGTCTTCGATGGACTTGCCTTTTCTGCATCTGTCTTCTTCGATGGAGCTCCGCCGGTACCGGATCTGCCATCCTCGATGGTCATCGACACCGATTGGGGACTATCGGTGCCGGATCCGCCGTCGTTGATGTCGGAAAGGGGACTCAATGAAGGTCTGACAGGGGGTGGGGCAGGGGAGGGTGCTGGGGATAGGGAGTACAGAGCTAGGGGATGTGTGTGATCTGGTGCGTAAGGCTAGGGGAGGGGAGTTGGGGCTGGGTACGGACTGGTGCGTAGAGCTAGGGGATGGGAGGGGGTTGGGGACCGGAGTAGGCGACTAGGGGCAAGGGAGGGAGGATGTGATGGGGCAGGCATGATGGCGGTTGTGCACGGGACAGAACGGCAGCAGTGGATGGGGCAGCGGTGGTGGCTAGGGACGGTCAGGGGTGGTTGTGGCAGGCCGTAGTGTTGTTGTTGGCGGTGAGGCACCAGGAAACTTTCCGGCATTCACATGTTGAGGGTGGCGGCGGCGTCACTAGAAAATCTGTGTCACTAAGAACCGGCGGCGTCACTGTGACAACGTCATTGTGGTGGCGTCAGTGCCGCAGTGACACGGGCGGTGGCCGCAGTGACACGGGCGGTGGCCGCAGTGACACGGGCGGTGGTTACAGTGACACGGGTGGTGGCGGCAGTGACATTTGATAGTGACATTAAAGAAAGATAGTGACATTAAAATCTAGGAATGACATTAATATGACCTTCTTGGTCACTTTTTTGCCAATTTTTAAAAGTGCTCACTTTTTTTGTAATTGGTTCAAAGTTAGTAATATTCAAATAAAAATCCCATTTTTTAATGAACTTCGTTAGTGGCTTTTTTTTATTAATATTCCGTTACAATGACTTTAAGATTATTTTAATATTTTAATAAGTAGTATTTATTTCAAAAAACAAATATTAAGATATGAAAATTGTGTGACAACTATCTCAATGATAAATGACCCGATTACTTCAATTTCCGTTCAAGTAATAACCGTCCCAATTATTATCGGGTCAGTGACATTGCCTCAGATATTACCGCTAAAGTGACCACCGCCTCAGTTACTAGTACTCATAAATGACCAAAAATTTATCAGAGACAAAAAATGGCAGTGACAAAAAACTTTCAATGACCTGTCCCACCAGTTACCTGCAAACCCCAGTTACAGTTACTAGATTCATGAGTTACAGTTACAGTTGCCTGATTCGTCAATTATAGTTACCCGATTCGTCAGTTACAGTTACCAGACCTGTCCAGTTACAATTACCTGACCTGAGTAATAGACAAAAAATGTGACTTTTTCCCCCAAATTTCGAAAATGAGACTGAAAATGTTAGGA